TTTTTACTTTTTTCTTTAATAACTTAATAATGGTTGGATTATTTATATAGAATCCACTTTCAATTTATTTGGTCGCCTGATCTGTTAACCTGGTGTCTATATAAATGAAGCGGAATGATTAGGCACTCTCCTATCAAATCATTTAAGAATTTGATTGTATATGGATCAGATACATTGAGGATGGCTCGAATGTAAGCCGAAACGTCTGGTTTTTTTTATACTTAATAAATCTTTTGCTCGCACGAATTACAGCGATATAACTCTCAGTTGCCTGTTTCTTTGTTTATATTTTGACCTTCTCGAGAGTTTATTTGTATTTCTTATATTCAATATAAAAATTTTGATAACTACCAATAAACGAGAAAAAGAGATGTTAGAATAAAAATAATTTTTAATTATGGTTAATACATAAAAATAATTTCGCAAACGTTCTGCTAACTCTTTGAAGCATACATTTTTCTTTACGTAGAATTCAGTTAAAATTTGTTACTCAGGGGGTTTTCGGGGTCGCTGATTACGAATCTGACCTCAGATTTTCGAAATTCAAAATGGCGGATCCAAGATGGCGGACAAAAAATTTAAAAACTTTTGACTTCGCGGATTTGTAATAAACGATTCGAAAAATCTGCTTGACCTCATTTTACAGCCCCAGAACTAATTTTTTAATTTTTTGTCCGCCATCTTGAATCCGCCATTCTGAATTTTGAAAATTTGAGGCCAGATTCGTAATCAACGACCCAAAAAACCTCCCGTACATTATTTTCGGCTATTGTTGATTAGTCACAATCATATTTATTGTTAAAAAAGGATGAATTTTTCCAGTCTGTTTATTTATAAAATACATTTCGTCAACAATAGGAATGTTTTCACGGTTTTTTTATAACAACTGATGTTCTAAAAAACCGATAATGTCCTTTTCATTGTAGTAATATGTAAGAAACTGTGTGAAAAACATAAAAAACTGAAATTAAAAAGGCGTGATATATATGTCACACTGTGCCGCAAAGGGTTAAGAAGTAATTTTACAAAATAACAAAAACAACCTAAATGTAGGCTAATGAGAGTCAGTGCGAGCGAAGGTGCGCAATAAATATTCACAAATAAAATTTGTTACTTCATGTGATGTGTTGATCTCATCTTTATTTGAAATATTGACTTCTTGAACGTTTCAATTCTCTTTAGAATCTTCATCAGCAAACTTCTTAAACTAAACTAGATTTCACAATCGTCCGATGTAGAGTCACTCGCAGGTTGTAATTTTACAAGTTGATGTTAATTTTAAGTCTACAGATTATTTGATAATGCAGACTGAAATATATCGAGAAGCAGTCTTTCGATCATCGATTAATCTATATTCTTCTGTTCTCTATGTATTTATTGTTGTTTTCGAGATTCGA